GGGAGTTGGAAAATAACACATTTACTGAGAGGATCACCAGGTGAAAATAAGGAAAAAGAAAACTAACGCATCTACCACATCTAAGGATTGGTAATCTGTGATATAATAAATGATTGTTTCTTAGTTTAATGCTGCTTTAAATACACAGATGAGACAAATATATATTAGAGTCATTTTATGTTCCCAAGGATTTGTATGTGTGCCCATCCACTTCCGAGACACAAACAACTCTGACACATAGAACAGTCAGGCACAGGATACCACTTCCTCCTGTCAACTTGTTTCTATTTAGTATATTTACATAATGCCAACCCAGATACCTTGCAATGCTGACCCTCCCTTTCTCAGTCTGAGTACTGCTGTATAAGATATTATACCAAAGACATTTAAAAATGTACATGTAATAATTTACTAAAGTGTTTCTAAAGGCTTATTTTAAAGAAATCACAACAAACATGCTATACTTACCTGCTCTGTGTAATGGTTTTGCACAGAGCAGCCCGGATCCTCCTCTTCTTGGGTCCCCTGCCCTGGCCCCTCCCTCCTGTCGGGTGCCCCCACAGCAAGCAGCTTGCTATAGGGGCACCCACTGCTCTGTGTGTCCATTCACACACGGAGCCACGGTTCAGCCCCACCAACTCTCTCTTTGCATTGGCATAGAATACATGAAGGTAAAAAAAAACCTTCTACCTTTTATTATATTATTATACAGTATTTATAAAGTGCCAACAGTTCGCTCAGCGCTGTACAATATAATGGGAGACAATACATGAGACAGTACAATAACAATACAATGCGATACACGGGGTTCGAGGGCCCGGCTCCTTGGAACTTACAATCTAGGAGGGAGGGGATAGTGGTACAGGAGAAAAGCTGTGGGGGATGGAGTGGGAAGAGTGGAGGAGGTCGGCAATTAGCAGGGGGTGGAGTAGGCTTCCCTGAAGAGATGGGTTTTCAGGGTGCGCCTAAAGGAGAGGAGAGTAGGTGATAATCTGATGGGTTGGGGCAGGGAGTTCCAGAGGATGGGTGACACCCTGGAGAAGTCCTGGAGGCGGGCATGGAGGAGGAGACCAGGGAACTAGAGAGAGACCTTTACAACCACTTTAATGGAATTCTAGCTGTATTTATTTTCAGTTTATTTTTTTTCTATCAGGAGTTCATCTTCAGCGGTGTATATTATTTTGAAGCAGAGCTCTAGCCAAAATACAAGATAAAAATGAAAAGTCTATTAAAAGATAAAGTAACAAAACCTCATTCATTCAGCCCAATTCTTCCAAGCGCAATTCATGCAGGACTCCTCTTCCCCCAAGTCTGTGACTGGACAGTGAAAAGAGAAGCAGCACAATACTGAACTCATCTCTCTGTCTCTCTGCTCTCTCTTCCTATTGGATTTGGGAACCAGACTGTCCGAAATTCTTCACATCCAGTTTGCACAGATATCTTCAGGTTCCTCCTTACTGTGCTCAGCTTATGAGCTGCTATCAGGTGAAGGCCACTGACATTTTTTCCCTACTCATCTTTTCTGATGTGAGGCAATACCTGGACCCTACAGAGGTTACACAGGCAGTCCACCTCCTCGAGGATGGCACATCAATATGTGCCATTGCCAGAAGGTTTGCTGTTCCTTCCAGCACAGTCTCAAGAGCATGGAGGAGATTCCAGGAGATAGGCAGTTACTCTAGGAGAGCTGGACAGGGCCGTAGAAGGTCCTTAACCCATCAGCAGGACCGGTATCTGCTCCGTTGTGCAAGAAGGAACAGGATGAGCACTGCCAGAGCCCTACAAAATGACCTCCAGCAGGCCACTGGTGTAAATTTCTCTGACCAAACAATCAGAAACAGACTTGATGAGGGTGGCCTGAGGGCCCGACGTCCTCTAGTGGGCCCTGTGCTCACTGCCCCATAGAGCTCAATTGGTATTTGCCATTGAACACCAGAATTGGCAGGTCCACCACTGGCGCCCTGTGCTTTTCACAGATGAGAGCAGGTTCCCCCTGAGCACATGTAACAGACTAGAAAGGGTCTGGAGAAGCCGTGGAGAACGTTCTGCTGCCTGTAACATGGTTCAGCATGACCGTTTTGGTGGTGGGTCAGTGTGTTGGTCTGGGGAGGCATATCCATGGAGAGACGCCAGACCTCTACAGGCTAGACAATGGCACCCTGACTGCCATTAGGTATCGGGATGAAATCCTTGGACCCATTGTGGACCGTACGGTGGTGCAGTGGGTCCTGGGTTTCTTCCTGGTGCATGAGAATGCCCAGCCTCATGTGGGGAGAATATGCAGGCAGTTCCTGGAGGATGAAGGAATTGATACCATTGAATGGCCCCCACGCTTGCCTGACCTAAATCCAATAGAACATCTCTGGGATGAAATGTTTTGGTCCATCCGTCGCCGCCAGGTTGCATCTCAGACTGTCCAGGAGCTCAGTGATGCCCTGGTCCAGATCTGGGAGGAAATCCCCCAGGACACCATCCGTCGTATCATTAGGACCCTCCCCCAACATTTTCAGGCATGCATAGAAGCATGTGGGAGCCATACAAACTACTGAGGACCATTCTGAACTGAAATTTCAAATGAAATTTTAGCAAAATGGACTAGCCTGCTGCATCATTTTTTCACTTTGATTTTCGGGATGTCTTTGAATTCAGTCCTCTGTAGGTCGATCATTTTTATTTCCATCAAACAATGCGGCATCCTTAGGTTCCTCACACATCACCCGTCCATATCAGTAGATGCCCAGCAGGAGATTTTTCCCCATTGAGATCTGGTGTTCCTTTCTTTTTTTTGAACAGTGTATCTCCCATAGTTTGTAGACTCTACAACTTTCACACAAACCAATTAATATACACTTATTGAGAGCTTTTTTTTTGTACCAAAGACATGTAGCAGAATATATTTTGGTCTAAATTTTATTGGATATGTTTTATAGAAGAAAATATGGATTTTTTGAATATAATAAAAATTAAAAAACCCAGCGGTGATCAAATACCAGAAAAAGAAATCTCTATATGTGTGAAAAAAAATTATATTAATTTCATTTGGATACAGTGTTGCATAACCAAGCAATTACCAGTTAAAGTAGCGCAGCACTGAATAGAAAAAAAGGCCTGGCCATGAAGGAGGTAAAACCTTCCAGAGATCAACTGGTTGATGAGCTCATTTTGAAAAGCAATGTAGAAATCTGTAGAGTAAACTATAACACACTGATATTCCGGGACCACTGCGGATCTTGTTCACATAATGACAGACAGCAGGGGGTGAAATAATCCACATCGTGTATATACAGTGCCCTGAGTGAGAAAATATTGAAACCCTTTGAAATTTTCCACATTTCGTCATGTTACAACCAAAACATAAATGCATTTTATTGGGCTTTGATGTGATAGACCAACACAAAGCGGCACATCATTGTGAAGTGGAAGGAAAATGATAAATGGTTTTCAACATTTGTTTACAAATAAATATCTGAAAAGTGTGGCAGCATTTGTATTCAGCCCCCTTTACTCTGATACCCCTAACTAAAATCTAGTGGAACCAATTGCCTTCAGAAATCACCTAATTAGTAAATAGAGTCCCCCTGTGTGTCATGTGATCTCAGTATAATTACAGCTGTTCTGTGAAGCCCTCAGAGGTTTGTTAGAGAACATTAGTGAACAAACAGCATCATGGAGGCCAAGGAACACACCAGACAGGTCAGGGATAAAGTTGTGGAGTAGTTTAAAGCAGGGTCAGGGTTATAAAAAAAATATCCCAAGCTTTACACATCTCATGGAGCACTGTTCAATCCATCATCCAAAAATGGAAAGAGTATGGCAAACATACCAAGACATGGCCATCCACCTAAACTGACAGGCCGGGCAAGGAGAGCATTCATCAGATAAGCAGCCAAGAGGCTCATGGGAACTCTGGAGGAGCTGCAGAGATCCACAGCTCAGGTGGGGGAATCTGTCCACAGGACAACTATTAGTCGTGCACTCCACAAATCTGGCCTTTATGGAAGAGTGGCAAGAAGAAAGCCATTGTTGGAAGAAAGCCATAAATCCTGTTTGCAGTTTGTGAGAAGCCATGTGGGGGACACTGCAAACATGTGGTGCTCTAGTCAGAAGAGACCAAAATTGAACTTTTTGGCCTAACAGCAAAATGCTGTGTGGCAGAAACCTAACATCGAACACAGCATCCCCACCGTGAAACATGGTGGTGGCAACATCATCTTTTGGAGATGCTTTTCTTTAACAGGGACAGGGAAGCTGGTCAGAGTTAATGGGAAGATGGATGGAGCCAAATACAGGGCAATCTTAGAAGAAAACCTGTTAGAGTCTGCAAATGACTTGAGACCGGGGCGGAGGTTCACCTTCCAGCAGGACAACGACCCGAAACATCCAGCCAGAGCTCCAATGGAATGGTTTAGATCAAAGCATATTCATGTGTTAGAATGGCCCAGTCACAGTCCAGACCCAAATCCAATGGAGAATCTGTGGCAAGACTTAAAAATAGCTGTTCACAGACCACCTACACCCAATCTGACAGAGCTTGAGCTATTTTGCAAAGAAGAATGGGCAGAAATGTCCCTCTCTAGATGTGTGCAAAGCTGGGAGAGACGTCCCCAAAAAGATTTGCAGCTGGAATTGCAGCCAAAGGGGGTCCTACAAAGTATTGACTCCGGGGGACCGAATACAAATGCTGCCATGGATCTTGCTTTGTGCAATGGTGCGCAGTCATGTTGGAACAGGAAGGGGCCATCCCCAAACTCTTCCCACAAAGTTGGGAGCATGAAATTGTCCAAAATGTCACCTAAAGAGTTCCCTTCACTGGAACTAATTGGCCAAGCCCAACCCTTGAAAAACCCCCCCACCATAATCCCCCCTCCACCAAACTTTACACTTGGCAAAATGCAGTCAGGCAAGTACCGTTCTCATGGCAACCGCCAAACACAGACACATCCATCAAATTGCCAGACAGAGAAGCGTGATGGGTTCTCTGGAGTGACCAATCTCCACTGCTCGAGTCCAGTGGCGGCATGCTTTACACCACAGAATCTGACGATTTGCATTGCACTTGGTGATGGAAGGCTTGGATGCAGCTGCTCAGCCATGGAAACCCATTCCATGAAGCTCTCTACGCACTGTTGTTGGGCTCATCTGAAGGCCACACCAAGTTTGGAGGTCTTTAGCAATTGACTCTGCAGACAGTTGGCGACTTCTGCGCACTGTGCTCTTCAGCATGCGCTGACCCCGCTCTGTCATGTGACGTGGCCTACCACTTGGTGGCTGAGTTGCTGTTGTTCCCAGTTGCTTCCACTTTGTTATAATCCCACTAACAGTTGAGCGTGGAATATTTAGTAGCCAGGAAATGTCACGGATGGACTTATTGCCCAGGTGGCCACCTATCACGGGACCACGCTTGGAGTCACTGAGCTCCTGAGAGCGACCCATTCTTTCACCAATGTTTGTAGAAGCAGTCTGCATGCCTAGGGGCTTGATTGTATACACCTGTGTCCATGGAGGGGATTGGAACACCTGAATCACATGATTTGGAGGGGATTGGAACACCTGAATCACATGATTTGGAGGGCTGGTTCAATACTTTTGGCAATATAGTGTGTGTGTGTGTGTTGTGTGTGTGTGTGTGTGTGGGGGGGGGGGGGGGTGACCCCTTCTACCTCCTGTAGGGGGGGTGGATGATCCCTCCTGCCTCCTGTAAAAGTAGTCCAGCGGCTAAATAGCCTCTAGGATGGCTTTTACAAAAAACCGGATCGCCTGAAAAGAAAAAAAGAAACAACATTGGTATTATGCCTTCAGCTGCTTGTAAAGTAATGTATTACTACGGTGGAATTTTTTCAAGCTTCATTCCCTTTAACCCTCAGATGGGGAGAGGGTTGGAGGGCAATAATAATCTACTTTATAGAAGTGCTGAAGAATGGATGTGGATGAATGCTTTGCACCATTACCTAAACGAAAGTCCCGATATATTGGCTGCAGCTTTAAGGGGGTATATAGGGCAAACAGCCCAAAGCCAATCCCCTACCATGCCCTGAGGAAGTCCCAGTCCGGAAGCAGGCTGAAACCTGTAGGTGCTGAGGACCCAGAATCCAGCTTAGCATGCAAAGGACACACAGCATTGCACTGTATATTACAAGGATAATGTACATGAAGCATTGCACAGTGTTAACAGGCAGCTAAATCTCCAGTTCATGTGGACCACCAAGGAGTGGTGAGACCCATGCAATCCAATCCAGGCTGGACTCGCTGTCATAGGAGTGACTTGCATGCCACTTAGGACTCACCTACGCATACAGTGGGCCCCACCTCAGTGTATCAGTGTATTTATAGTGAACTGATTTTACAGTGTTGCTTTTTGGATTGCCATATTGCATACTGTGCATTTCCCGTTGTCACCATCTATCTTGCAGGGTATCTGGGTCCAGTATTCCATCATCAGCAGGAGGGGGGTGGGGGTGTATCAGGAAGAAAGGGATCATTCGCAGGGTTGCTGGGGGAGGGGGGTGGTGGTGCAGGTAGAGAGGGTATAGACACACAGCCAACACTGTTTAAGAGGGTGGGGGCCAGAGGGTAGTATGGGATGGGAGGGGGGGTCTATAACCCAGGTTTAACACTGGATATGTTTGTTTACAATTGTTATACTATTTTCATATAACATAAATATTTTGTATTAGCCACAAGTTGGTGTCCTATCCATTTTTCTTTCTGTTGGATACTTCACCTGGTACGCTGCAACGAATATGTACATGATGCGGGTCTATAGGTGGTTACAGCGGACTTTGCACTCCATGCAGTCTAGCCCAAATCTCAATGTAAGATACTACAATACAGTGTAATACCATCTTATAGTGACATTTGGGCTACTTATCATTCCTTGGGATCCTGTCGGATGGAAAGTGGTATTACCCATCTATAAGTGCTGTAGACAAAGGTAAGTATAACAACTAACTTTATTTCCACCCCAGGTTGTTTTTTTTGCAGTGTTTCTGCCTGGGTGGTCACACAAAATAAGTGAACCTTGCAATTCCAGGGTGAACTCCAGGCTCCTTTTCACACTTAGTAGGCTACTGTTAACTGCTATGCTGAAAATAAAAATTTGCTGTCATAGAATTCAGTAGCTGCAGTTCGCTTAATAAACACAAATAAGAAAGTCAGAGCAAACACTCCCCCCCCCCCCCCCCTACCTCCCCCCCTACCTCCCACCCTCTCCCTCTCTGCTTGTTCTGTTCACAGGAGGCTATGCAGAAATTCCATCAAGGAATCTGAAGGCAAACGGCTCCTGCAGGGCTCTCTAAATAAATAAATAATAAATATATATTAAACTGCAAATGAATCCGATACTAAATACGTGACACATCAAGTGGTAATGTGCAAAACCTGGTCCCAAATATGGACCTATATAAAGTGCAAATGAACACGCACACAATCCCAAATAGGGATAAATAATGTGATACAGTGAATACCAAACGATGAAATCGCTGAAAGTGACTAGTGCTATTACCTCCCAATAAAAAAAACTGCTAAATACGTATGAAATAAACACATCAAGTGATAATGTGCAAAAACAGGTCCCAAATATGGACCTATATAAAGTGCAAATGAACACGCACACAATCCCAAATTGGTATTCACTGTATCACTTTATTTATCCCTATTTTGGGATTGTGTGTTTTTTTGCACTTTATATAGGTCCATATTTGGGACCAGGTTTTGCCCATTATCACTTGATGTGTTTATTTCATACGTATTTAGCAGTTTTTTTTATTGGGAGGTAATAGCACTAGTCACTTTCAGCGATTTCATCGTTATGGATAAATAATGTGATACAGTGAATACCAAACGGTGAAATCGCTGAAAGTGACTAGTGCTATTACCTCCCAATAAAAAAAACTGCTAAATACGTATGAAATAAACACATCAAGTGATAATGTGCAAAAACAGGCCCCAAATTTGGACCTATATTAAACACACAATCCCAAAATAGGGATAAATACAGTGATATAGTGAGTACCAATCAATGAACTCGCTGAAAGTGACTGGTGCTAATGCCTCCCACAATATATCATAAATCTGATAAATACAGATGAAATATATAACTAGCAATAAATAAATAAAGTCCAAAAAATGTCCAAAAAATATGTGCAGGAAAATCAGTGCAAAAATGTAGGTAATTGTGCTTCAGCTTTCCCCTCTAAATGCTTTTAGTGCTTGTGAGACACTCCGGTGGATCAATATCCATAAATGGCCAGATTGCCTCCTCACTTCCTTACCGCGACCCCTAAGGGCCTCAACGCTTTATACAGCAGACAACTCCACACCATGCGGCATCACATGAACCCGGCTCCAATGGCTCCACTTAACCTCTACTGATGATTTCCTTACAGCACTGGCTCTCCCTTCAATCTGTGGTCACCACAGTTCAACTCATAGGTGCATATCATTATACCAGGGCCTTCTTTTTCCAGTTCCCATTATGGTTACTATTTTTTCAGGGCTCATTGGATACCACCGTGCAACCATTTCATCTGTATTCATCAGATTTTTTATATATTGTGGGAGGCATTAGCACCAGTCACTTTCAGCGAGTTCATTGATTGGTACTCACTATGGCAGGCATGTCCAAAGTCCGGCCCGCGTTCCGGACTGAAACGGCCCCACAGGTGAGCTACCCAAATATATAACTTACGGCCCCCGGTAGTGATTCCCTGAAAGCTACTGAGGACTTCAGCGATCTCTTGACATCATTAGCTGGCGAAGGAAGGAGAGCCCAAATCTCACGACGTCCGAGATCTCGTGAGATTTGGGCTTTCCTTCTCTGTGTGCCGGCTGATGACGTCAATTCCTGCTCGACAGATCCCTGGAGTCCTCAGTGGCGTTCCCAGAATCACTAGTGGAGGGCCGTAAGTTATATATTGGGCAGCTCATCTGTGGGGTCCGGAACGTGGGCCGAGGGATCCCAGGTGGAGCGCAGGGAATTACTACTGGGGCTACCATTTACCATTATTTACTATGTCCGCAGTCTCTGGTCATCTCCTGTACTGTGTCCGCAGTCTCTGGTCATCTCCTGTACTGTGTCCGCAGTCTCTGGTCATCTCCTGTACTGTGTCCGCAGTCTCTGGTCATCCCCTGTATTGTGTCCGCAGTCTCTGGTCATCTCCTGTACTGTGTCCGCAGTCTCTGGTCATCTCCTGTACTGTGTCCGCAGTCTCTGGTCATCTCCTGTATTGTGTCCGCAGTCTCTGGTCATCTCCTGTATTATGTCCGCAGTCTCTGGTCATCCCCTGTACTGTGTCCGCAGTCTCTGGTCATCTCCTGTACTGTGTCCGCAGTCTCTGGTCATCTCCTGTACTGTGTCTGCAGTCTCTGGTCATCTCCTGTACTGTGTCTGCAGTCTCTGGTCATCTCCTGTACTGTGTCTGCAGTCTCTGGTCATCTCCTGTACTGTGTCCGCAGTCTCTGGTCATCTCCTGTACTGTGTCCGCAGTCTCTGGTCATCCCCTGTACTGTGTCCGCAGTCTCTGGTCATCTCCTGTACTGTGTCCGCAGTCTCTGGTCATCTCCTGTACTGTGTCCGCAGTCTCTGGTCATCTCCTGTACTGTGTCCGCAGTCTCTGGTCATCTCCTGTACTGTGTCCGCAGTCTCTGACCATCTCCTGTACTTTGTCCGCAGTCTCTGGTCATCTCCTGTACTATGTCTGCAGTTCATTGGTTCAGAATTTTTTTTTCCTGTTTTTTGCCTCTAAAACCTAGGTGCGTCTTATGGTCAGGTGCGTCTTATGGAGCGAAAAATACGGTATCAATTTGGGCTATAATGGATTGGTGCTCAGGATCGCTTGACGTCATCAGACAGTGCAAGGAGAAACAAAGCCCAAATCTCGCGACCTCCGAGATCTCGCGAGATTTGGGCTTTCCTTCTCCCTGTGCTGGCAGAGTGATTTAACACCTGTTTAGATTTGTCATCCAAGTCACAGAATGAAAAGTATGCCGTTTTCAATAAACTTTTGCATAAAATAGTTCATTTGCATTTAATGTTAATGGTTCATCAGAATGTCGGGCAAAATGGTCGGCCCTCGCACATGTTCACTTCATCAAATCTGGCACTCTTCCAAAAAAGTTTGGACACCCCTGCACTATGGTGTCCGTTTATGAACCAGCAGTAATAGATCGCTGCTCAGTTCTCCGGCGTTCTCGGAGAACACAGTTCTCCTGTGAATGCCGTTTATGAAGCGATGTAGATCAGTTCTCCAAACGAAGGCAGAACGGTCTACAAACGCTGGAAAATGGCTGATTTTACTATAATCTCGCGAGATTACAGTAAAAGATCAGTTTACTAAGCAGAGGTAAATTATCTCTGCTTATTTTGCGGTCCCTCCGATTCTCCAGCTCTGGGCTGGAGAATGTGGAGGGAGAACACAGATCTCCAGTGAAGGGGCTGAACATGTTCTCCTGGGTGTTATAAACTGTGAATGACCAGAGAATAGCTGCGATCCTCTGAATCGCAGCTATTCTGTGTCATAAAAGGACACCTATATCACTTTATTTATCCCTATTTTGGGATTGTGTGTTTTTTTGCACTTTAATATAGGTCCAAATTTGGGACCTGTTTTTGC